CACCCTCTGTTGTCATTTTCTTTTTCAGATACACTGACAGATAGATGCCAAAAAATGGTGTGCCAATGTGACCAAGAAGCAGCCAAGTGTTGGGGAACAGCCTCTTATAACCCACACTACGTCCTCTGGCCAGATTTCTTATGTGGACAGTCTACTCCCACGTGTCATGTTAGTTAGATATTGGGGGACAAGACTAATCTTCTGGAGACATTTTTCTAATTTCTAAGCTACTGTAATAAAATTGTTCATCTTTGATCAAGACTGATAGTGGTGTTAGAGAATTTCTGGCAGCCTGGGGATGGTGGGGAGGAGAAAAAGGATTGGTTAGGCACCTCCTCGGTCTTTGGAATTAAGGATCAACCCACCTCCTTAGTTGAGGAGGGCCAAAGACATCCAATAGCATACCACAGCAATGCCACACTGCAGTTATAGATAGAAAGAAAAAGTGTCAACAGCAGCCACTGGCATGCTGTCCTTTCACATTGCCTTACATTGAGTCCCCATATGTTTTGGAAAGCACAGGGATGCTCTATTTGGCTGTCTTTAATTAATTCCCACTGATGGCTACACTGTCCATCAAAGCCCCAAAATGGCCCGTTCTGGAAGTGCAGAAGTCATACTTTAAGTATGGGGGCTCCTGGAGATGGGTAGACAGGCATCCTCATTTTCTCTGTCATGGGGGACAAGCTGCCAAAGGGCATGGTCACTTCTCTTTGTAAAGGTACCTGGACTTCTGGCAGGAACCGTGGTCAGGGCAAGAACTGAACATTTATCAGATTTTTGTCTCTCTAAAAGTCCTGACCAACAGTCTCTTCTTTTTGTCATCTCACTTCACACAGCTGGGAACACCTCTGAGAAGAACCTCAGAGGTGAGAAGAGAGTCACATTTTTCTTTTTCTGTTGTAGGGGCAGTAACCATTCATGGCTTCTACCCATTGGCTCATCAAATCCTGGACACACCAGAGTGTATAGTTCCACTGCTTCACATTTTAGGCTCTGATCTGCTTCTGTCCTGTACAGATCTTAGCTTATCCCACTTTCTCTGCTGTATATGATTGCCTTCAGAAATATTAAATCATGCAGCTGAGGTTGCAGACAGCATTATTCATGTTAAAGCAATCAATTCCACCTCATGTAAAAGTTTCTCATTCTACTCTTAGTTGTGTCCTTTATTTTTGGGTCTCTATCCCATGTTTGAGTCATAGCACCAGAGAATGGACATGATGTCAGCTTAATCTCATCATCCAACATGAGGCTGGGTGGAACTGCAATGTGGTAAGTGGCTAGTCATGAAGGTTTTAGCAGAGTGTGATAGCCTGCGTACCACAAGAGAGACCCAATTGTGTGACTGGAGCCTGCCCAGAGATGAGGGCCTGGGAATATGTGCCTGAGGTGAAAATGTGGTCTCTTTACATGAGAGACCTCTAGGAGCGTCAGCGTGCATGTATAAAGGGTGAGATTTTCAAAAGTGTTCCACATGGGCCTAACTCTGCTTCCACTGAAGTCAATGATGAAATGCCCATTGACTTCAATAGGAGTGAAGTTAGGCCAATGTCCAGTGCTGTTGAAAATCCCACACAGAATCCCTACTGTGTTCCAGGGAACTCACTTGACCTCAGAGGACAGACCTTAACATGGGAGATCTCCTGGAGCCTCTGAAAAGCCCTTGGCTAAATTACTCCCAGGCTTTGTTGAAGGTTCAAACTCAATCTGGAATGTTTCTGGACCACTGTAAGAGTATTAATGTTGCCTTTAATTATCTTATTTTGTTAAAGGCTTGAAATCCCTTTGTTTTCTGCCTAATAAATCCTCTGGGTGTGTAAAATCAACCCTCAAGAGTACTTCAATTCCTTTGGCCAGTGTATTGTAAAATGGCTCTTCCTCTACCTCTACATTCCTTCATTACAAGAGCTCACCATGACAACCAAGTCAACAGAACAAGGTAAACTATACTGGGTGGTGCTGATAGGTTAGAACATTGACTTTCCTTGATCCCCTGGAAGGAATGCATTCAGGACAAACAATATGAGGGTACCAGTTAGCAATTGGTGAGATTGAGTATTTCACTCATCCATCAGTCTCTGTTGAAACAGGTGCCAGGTTTTATGCAAGAATTTTGTAGCTGAAAATGCGAGGGCACTACCTTTTAAAACAAGCAACAATGCAAGGAAAGATCCAGGATGATGTATAAGAAATACACCTATTCTTCCAAGATACGTTGTCAGGTTAACCAGGACTATAGCTAATAATAAGGTTAACCTCTTATAAAAGGCTGTTTTGGTCTATGCCAGTGGTTCTCAACCGGGGCCCCCTGGGAGACCGTGAGCAGGTTTCAGGGGGTCTGCCAAGCAGGGCAGCATTGGACTCGCTGGAGCCCAGGGCAGAAAGCTGAAGCCCCACTGCATGGGGCTGAAGCCTGGGGCCCTGAGCCCTGCCACCTGGGACTGAAACTGAAGCCTGAGCAGTGTAGCTTTGTGGGGGCCTCATGGCATGGGGGCCCCAGGCAATTGCCCTGCTTGCTACCCCCTAATGCCAGCCCTGGCTTTTATATGCAGAAAAACAGTTGTTGTGACACAGGTGGGCTGTGGAGTTTTTATAGCATGTTGCGGGGGAAAGAAAAAGGTTGAGAACCCCTGGTGCATGCTATCTGAGGCAGTTGACCATACTACTGTGTATGTAAAGGCAACAGTAAAGAGTCAGCATGTACTGAAAGCAGGAATGTGTACTGAAGCAAACATTTTTATTATAGCTATAGACAGCACACATAGATAGCTCAAAAAACTGCCCCTTTTGGTTCACAGAATGTGATAAGTTATGACACACATGGAAGAAACTGTTTAGTCTTCTGGTATTTTCTGTAACCATGCAGCTCAAGTTATGCTGTGCAGGAAGGAAGAGAGAACAAGTGAGCGATGTGGATATAATACAACACAACCAAGTATCCTACAACCGCAAAACTGTCATAGGCGTTGTAGAAACAAATGTGTTAGTGAAGTCTACCCATTCATGTGGTTTGGAACGCAAAGTCTTGAAGCAAAAGGGGCTATCACTTGGGTTGCTATTCCTAGAATCAGATAGAGGACTTAGGCTAGGGGTGGCCAACCTGTGGCTCCGGAGCCACACGTGGCTTTTCAGAAGTTAATATGCGGCTCCTTGTATAGGCACCAACTCTGGGGCTGGAGCTACAGGCACCAACTTTCTAATGTGCCGGGGAGTGTTCACTGCTCAACCCCTGGCTCTGTCATGGGTCCTGCCCCCCGCTCTACCCCTTCCCGCCCCCTCCCCTCAGCCTGCACTGCCCTTGCTCCTTCCCCCTCCCCCCCCAGCCTCCTGCACGCCAGGAAACAGCTGATCGGGAGGTGCAGGGAGGGAGGGAGAGGTGCTGATCAGCAGGGCTGCCGGTGGGTGGGAGGCGCTGGGAGCGGGGTGGGGGAGCTGATGGGGGGCTGCTGATGTATTACTGCGGCTCTTTGGCAGGGCCGGCTCCAGGGTTTTGGCCGCCCCAAGCAGCCCAAACAAAACAAAACAAAACAAACAAACAAAAAAAGCCGCGATCGCGATCTGTGGCGGCAATTCGGCAGGAGGTCCTTCACTCCCAGGTGGAGTGAGGGACCGTCCGCCGAATTGCCGCCGAATACCTGGACCTGCTGCCCCTCTCTGGAGTGGCCGCCCCAAGCACCTGCTTGAGAAGCTGGTGCCTGGAGCCGGCCCTGCTCTTTGGCAATGTAAGTTGGTAAATTCTGGCTCCTTCTCAGGCTCAGGTTGGCCACCCCTGACTTAGGCAGCCAAGGTGGTAATTAATATTCAATAGAGTGGAATGAAACAGAGCAGTGTGTGGACTGCGAGCCCTTTCTAGGACTGACCATAAGGTGGCAGCACTGCTTTAGAGGAAGAGGTGTGTATGTGTGTGAGTGCGTTACAGGAAGAGGCATATAAGTGTGTGTGTGCATATCACTTTGGAGGAAGGTGTGTGTGTGTGAGAGAGAGAGTGAGTGAGTGAGTGCGTGCATTGCTTTGAAGGCAGGTGTGTGTGAGTGGCCATGGCCAGACTTCAGAAGTGCTCAGAATCAACAATTGGCCAGATTTTCAAAAGAGCTCAGCTTCCATTTGGCCAAATAAATAAGGTTTTCAAAGGTGCTCAGCTCCCATTATGACACTTAGCTAAGCACTTTTGAAAAATCTGGCCACTTCTTTTGTCGCCTAAACAGGAGTGAGCAGCTTTGAAAATTTGGCCCTCTGTATCGCTGGGATCTTTGCAGCCACTGGGAGAAAATCCATGTAAGGTCTTAAAGAGTGAGGGTAAGAATGGTGGCTCAGACTGAAGGGGGCAGGGGAAAGGATTGAAGACAACTCAGTATTTCTGAACAGTCTGTGTCTGTTCAATGTGTACCTTTGTGTGGGAGTTTGCGGGCAAGGCAATCCTTCCAAGTTTTTTGCAGGTAAATGTTGTGCTGTGTCCACACAGGCTGTTACATCCAGCGTAGGTTTGTCTGAAAAACAGACACAGACTGTTCAGAAATACTGAGTTGTCTTCAATCCTTTCCCCTGCCCCCTTCAGTCTGAGCCACCATTCTTACCCTCACTCTTTAAGACCTTACATGGATTTT